TTTGCGGAGTCTCACGGATGTCGTCTAGCCAAGTTTTGCCGTCGCCATTTCACTGAGTCTCCTACACCCTTGTTGCAGAGTCAAGCTAGCAACCTCGGCACTGCGTTTGGTTTGAGTCTGTTGTCGCTCTGATCTTTGTCCGACTTAAATCGTTCTCGGCACCATCAACCTTCGGTAGTCGGCATCGAGATTTTGTGGTTCGGGTTCGTGCTGAGAACTTGATGTCGGTTCTTGAGATTTGTTGATTAGGCATGTCGACACCTCTCCCTTAGCTTCTTGGCCAAGTACTCCGTCTCCGTATATCCGAGGTCTCTTTGATTGATGCCGAGTTTTTATTCTGCCGAGGACTAGAGGTCGATGACTCCTGATCCCGTACTGCTGAGAATAACAGTCGACTCCGAGACATTGTTATTATTTTTTGTTATCGATTCACCCTATTTCTGTGCCGAGTACTTCTTTTGCCGAGATCGAGAAGAAACTTGCCGAAGATTGCTCCACCTTCGTACAGCCGAGGACTTGATGAGTGTCGAGATTCCTTTTGTCTTGTATACTCAAGATTGCGTTGACGAGACTGTGCAAAGGTCTAGCCGAGGCTTTTCCTTGTTTCGCCGATATCTTCTTCTTTGTGACGAGGAGGATCTTGTGTTGAGTTCTCGGCAAACGGAACTTTGGAGCCAAGATCTCGCATTTTGGTTTCGACGGGTCGGTTCTATCAAATATACGCCAAGGACTAGGGGTCGCCCCCCATCGGATTACTATTTGTTGCCGAGGCCTAGCACCATTTCTCCGAGACTTCCCCTTGTTTTGCCGAGATAAGGTATTGCCGACATCTCTTAATTCTTGATATGATTTGTTTGTTCAGTCACATTACTTAGAGTGATTTGTTGTGGTTGTAGAGATGGAGAATCATGTGTCCAGTGACGACTTGTCTATTTCTGATGCTGAATCGAACTCTGTGATTCATTCTTATGCTGCTAGTTTGAATGCTTTGGAGAATAGTCTTTGCGTTGACGAGATAGTTGACTAGTTGAGTACAATTGATTTTAAGGACGAGCCGACCAACGATGAGTGGCTCGGTGCATTAGTGTCCCGTGTCTGCGTTGATTCTCAACCAAGGCTTTGCTGACTTTGAGGAAGTGTCGAGCCAAGAGGAAGAATAAGAGAACTTCTGACCCTCCACACTCTACGTTTTCGGACGAAGAGTCTTTGGCCATGTTGAGACAAAAATTTCACATTTCAAAGGAGATCGGATTTCTTATTCCCTCGTCTTTA